CCCCACCCCCCCTGTACAAGCCGTTGCGCGTCTATTATACTGTACCTTCAGACAGGCTGACCACACATAGTTCTCTGGTCGCCACCTTGCACTGATGAGCCCCACTCTTATACTCATTGGTGGGATCGGTCGAGATCGTGGTGGTGTTGATGTAGAGGGAGGGAGGGCGGTTTGGAGGGGTCCCGATCCGAGAGCCGTCGTTCAGTTGGGGTCGGGTGTGACCGTCGGCCCCCCGTGACTTCCCGCAAAGTAGAAGGCGAAAAGGTAAAGATAACCTCTAGATACCTGAACAAAAGCGGAGAGAGACAAAGAAATACATACCTAATTTATAACAGAATAGGGACGTGTAACTATGGATGTCCGGTTTCCCCTTCTAGAACGTGGTGTGTTATTAAACATTTCGACGGAGGAAGGGCTCCTGTCTAAACAAGTGTCCGGGGTCTCTTAGACAAGACATAAATCAGGACACACATAATGTGACGGAACGGAAAAGCAGAGAGAAATTCAGTACGAAAGTGTAAACGGCAACAGGTTCAAATTTATAAAAGGAGGGAGTTCCCCTTTTCCCCCTATTTTTGTGTAAACTCACCATAGGTATTGGAAGGTCCACCTTTTTCGGAAAATAAGTGTACAATCTCCCTCTTGGATCCCAGTTTTTTCTTTTCGAAACCTTCAGTAGTTTAATTGATGACTGTGAGAAATTGGGCGTTATCAAGACCAATTTCTTCTGAAACCTTCCTCCACATTATCGGATAGTGGCGAACTAGGATTGACGTACTAGAGTGTTAAGTTCACTGTCGCTCTGTATTTGTTCTAAAAGTTTTTTTCGGTGAATTTAAATTCGACTGTCGATTTGGTTACCCACTGACCAATTAATCGTTCTTTCCCTATAATAAAAGGCAGGCTCACACTTCCCGATCCCTCCGAGGGTACTTTGGAAAGTTTTTCGAAATTCTCAATTTTGTGTACGTCGTATAATCTCTGAGCTTTGAGAGTGATTTCTGTCGATTTGGTAAAAGACTTGATTTTTCATTTGTCAAGGAGACAATTATAAAGCTGCCACCAGTTCCATTATCTGTTACGTTTTGTCAGGACATATCCCGTTACTTAATTTACGTCACGTAGACATTAGACGATCTAAGTATAAGTATTATGTTTGTCTATAAGGCCACAGTGACTACAAACAGAATTCTGGTCAAAAACGCGGTGCAAAAGGGCGGTCTATCGTTCCCCGAAGTGTGATTCACGTCTGTATAGTTTACGCCCACAAGTCAGCCTTAATCGGGTAGGAAAGCTGTCCAACCCACCACACGGACCAAAATTCTTCGCGACCGAAAAAAGATCGGAGCCAGTAGTGTGGCTTATATTACTCGCGTAATACCCTATACTAGGACCCGATTCTTGCGTCGCTGTCCCAGTAACGACTGCGGCTGCGCCGACCGACAACGCCACATCGAGTGTGAAGTAACGGTCATTTCGTTATTATGTTGTAGTGGACGAATTGCGAAGGAAGGAAATGTCTTTTGTCACCGTACTACAATAACCTTATAATACACGCACCGCCCCTTCATATCTTCTAAAGAGTCCGATGATTTCGAAGGACACAAACAAAAGTTCTCTCTGCTATCGTCTATATTGTAACTTATTTCGTAATAGGCTAAATACTTGAAGAGTGTTTGCTTGTGCAACTAGCTTGACTAATTGGAAAACCTCGTTCCCAACATATGAAAGCCTCTGAGAGCTTTTCTGTGTTTTATGCTTTCAAATTGTTTAGTATCTTATTTTAGCTGCATGTGAGAACATTTGCCTGGAACACAGGTGTTTTTCATTTAGATGCACTTCTTATCTTTGTCAAAAAAGTCACTAGAAAAAAGATCTAGTCTGAGAATTCAAATTTGGCAGCGTTTATTCTAATTAGAGCGATGCTAAATGAGCTTTTTTCCTCCAGCCTTTGATAACAGCCCACATGTCTGTGAGAGTATGTTTACCTTTGTGGAGGAGATCAAATTGGTTCTCCATTACCGCACCTTAAAAGCAAGCTTTGACCATTTTATTGGAAATGAGAATATGATTTCACACAGGTTTTCTAATCAGCAGACATTTAGGATTCATTTAGTCCAGAGACATTTTATTTATTTGTATTTTCTCTGCACTCATGTTCTTGCTGAAAGAGAAATGAACAAAGATAAAGAATATCATCGATGCAGAGAAAATACAAATAAATAAAATGTCTCTGGACTAAATGAATCCTANGGGGGGGGGTTGTCATACTTTCGGAGACTCGACAAGACACAAAATACGAAAGTTCTTAACAAATATAAATAAATCGCCGTACACTCTTCTACAACGCGACCCTTGTGTCCAACAGTAAAATCTACGATCGAAGAATAGAACAGTTTTTGTCAGTGATCTTCTTTTCTAGATCAGACTCTTAAGTTTAACCGTCGCAAAATAGACTTAATCCTCGCAAGAACAAATCGTCCGGTAGCGCCGGTAAGTGGATACGCTACCTCGTAACAAAGGAGGTCACGGAGAAGCGTCATGATAATACTGTGAGTCATTGATCCTCATCTATACAAAAATGCAGGAACAGTATCCTACCGTAGTTCCCAAACAAGAGGTTTAATAGGCCGTGAACGAAATTCATCGATGAATACGACAACTGAATAAATACCTCTAGCTACTCTTATCACAGTACTTCATTCCGAAGTGTGTCAAGGCATTATCTATTTAGCGCCATAAAAGCCCAAAGAGATTAAGATCGTCACATAAGCTTAAATCCTAGTGAATAGGTAGAGGTCGAGTGAGTAGGACAGCGTAAAGTCTTCTTCTGTAACAATCTACACGCATATAAACAATACCAAACGAGGTAAGTAGAGTTAGAACAGCAGTTTAACTCTTTTACGTCACTCGTTCCTTCTTCATTTCCTATATTAGACTCGAAGCAAAACTTAGTTCCGTCACTATGACTAAAATTAATGTGCTGCTCTTAGAGATTTCTAAAATACAGCGATTCTCCTACTAAAGGGTATACATGAGCATTAAACATTCGATTCGATGAAGAAGCTCGTACCTCTCTTATTGGGTCAACCTATTTAGGGACTCAGCCTCTCACGATGCTCGACACGGAAATATTAACTAACGAGCGACTCCCCGGTTCGCCCCTCCACCTTCTCAATCCCGACGATAGCAACTAATACCGAGAGCATACAAATCCGATGAAGATAACGGTTCTACTGTAGACTAGTAGACACGAAACAGAAGAGTGATACCATCTCTATACTTCAGCCAAATCCAGCGTAAGATACCAGACGATGCGAAGGAGGGGCCACACGACCTACGACAACAAAGGCGGGCTACTACAGGGTATTTTTAGGGATACCTAAACTGAAGTTACCATCGTAAATTTCCCGAGTCTACGACAGTATAGAGGATACTAACAAGCTAAAATTTAGAATTTAGTACATTAAACCAGCAAACTTTGTAAGACATTACCTTTACCATTTTATCCTAATATAACACTGCCGAGTTCCACGGTGACCTACAAATCCCGTCGGCTTAGTAAGTAATGGATACTTCAGACAATACAGCCATAGTAGATGACTAGTAGTTAGGTCACTAACCGAATAGTGACCCGCGACTACTTCTAACATTTACAGCATTCATCTAAGTCAACGCGAGCGCTAGTAACGAGCTTGAACCGTGCCGTCAACATTCACGAAAACATCGTCATGTAGAAGATATAAGACATACAGGAGGTCGAAAGTTTCTTATGAGACATTACCAATAATAATATGCATCCGCGGCAGTTATCATAACTGGTAGACTGATTACTCATTAATCTATTCATTACTTGTGCGTAATTACCGAACGAGTCAGGGGGGCGTTTCCGACGTCGCCCTACTACTACGTATTTGGTGTCTATCAGGGAGAAAGGGGTGCTAGTCTGGTAACTTACAAATTAGAGTTTTAACTACAGGTATAAACACTATACAGGAAAAACCGGGGGGCATGTTCGGAACACCGCAGATCATGACATGGACAGTCTGTCCGACTGGTGTGTTCAAGGAGACCCAGCGGTGACAGTGGACTATCGGGTGAGAGATGGAGTAACCCCCTAGCCCAGTCTAGCACCCCAACAACTACATCCTCTCCCTCCCCTCCCCCAAACTCCCCAGGGCTAGGCTCTCGGAGCAAGTCAACCCCAGACCCACACTGGCAGCCGGGGGGCACTGAAGGGGCCGTTTCATCTTCCCTTTTCATTTCTATTGGAGATCTATGGACTTGTTTTGCCTCTCTCTGTTTCTTTATGTTATGATTAAATATTGTCTATCTGCACAATTGATACCTAAGGCCAAAGGGAAGTCACTTTGCCCACACATAATTTGTAAGCTGCCTCCTTCCCCGAGGACAGATTTGTTCACAGGCAGAGAATCTGTTCTGTATTATCCTGGTGTAACACTGCCTTGCCTTTCGTCTCTCTTTAACGTCATGCTTTCACATTTTTGCCGCTCTGTCTAAGGTTTAAATATTTCCTTCCTCAAGGGGGAAAAGGGGGATAAAAACACATTTGAGTGGTAATCATAACCTTCTCAGTGGAAAAGCCTTTATTCACATGTTAGAGGGAAGACTAGGGTAAAAAAGGAAAAGCTTTGAAGTCATCAAATGTAACACTGATCACTCTTTAACCCCAAATATTTTTAAAGAAGACTTTGATAGGAGGTGTAAAGCTACACTGCTTGATCTAACTGCATGATCTCACATTCAAGTGACAGCGAGACCATAACAAGACTTTCAAAAAAGCCACTTTAAATTAAAGCTGACAGCTTAAAACAAACATGGGTGACTGGTTAATTAGCAAATGAAAGGAGATATTTCATTTCCTCCGAGTGTGAAAGGGCTTAGGGAGGCTCATGGAAAACCTTTCAAAAAGCTTTAAGAGTTCAGAAACACATGCAGCATATTGAGAGACTCTGAAACCTCTCTAAAGACACTACCATTTTCTGAACTAAAAAGTAAACATTCCTCTGTTATATATTGAGGTGTCAAGGTAAAGACAAATGCAAAAACAGTCTGTATAGCAATGATATTAAATGCAGTGCATACATGTAATCCTGCTCGATTCAATATTCATAAATACACAGATATTCGGTGTCACTGTTGTTTGTTTAAGCACCAGTTTGCCCGTTCCAAGCAATGATAGCAAGGCGGCTTCCCACTCTGTGCAGACATATCATGCGGGTTTCATCTGTGAATTAGCCCATCCTTTCAGACAGGATTTGGTGGATGTGCCTGTGTTTTTAAAAGAAGCTGGCTTTTTTCATAGCCTCGGGTCATCACAACAGAATATATTGAGCGCATTATGGATATGAATCCTGGGCCTAGACACGCAGCACAAGGGTCATTGCTTGGAGGCTTTGCGTTAGCTCCACACTTCATTGCCATAAAGCAATAATACACATCCCTGTTAACTCTTCCTTCTTTACAGAAAAACAGTGGGATGAGTGTAATTGAATATTATGTGCTGCGGGGAAGTATAATTTTCAGGCTACTTAAAGCTTTCCTGTTGTTTTGTTTTTCAAGAGAGACGATAGAGAGATACATTAATAAACATTATCATTTATGACTTCTCACAAACGAACACGTTAGAATGACTGATAACCTTTTGGAGCAAAGTTAACTGTTGTTATTTTACTTTGTTAATTTGTTCTGGTAGTAAAAGGTTATTCTAAACACAACTATCCTATTTAGAAAATGATAATACAACAACAAAAAAATCTATAGATTTTAGCCGCAACAACCGTGCAAAATCTAATTGACGGTGCTGTTTGGATTTAAAGATTTTCAAAGTAGTATCTCTCCGGAGTGAATTTATAAAGTGACTCTGAATACCCAGAGGAACAGCATAAAGATCGACACGCTACAAATGTTTCAAAGATGTTGCCCTCATTTAGGATGCATGAAATATTTCTATTCTCAGTCAGAAAATAGCTTCTGAGAAGTAACTTTCATAGTGACTATGCTAAAAGACTGAATAGAATCGGTATAGCTCTTTGGTATAACAATTTGAAGAAAAACATTCTTAATATGTATAAGAATAAAAGAAATTCTGAACCAGGTATTTGTAGCCACCAAAGGTAATACAATTAGATTCAACCTTGATTCATGATTCAGAAATAAATATTCGAAGGGTCCACGCTTTGATTAATTTTGTCCACAAGCTTTTGAGTAAAGTTTCCAACCCTCTGTGTTTATGGAAATCCATAAAAAGATATATTTTTGTAAAAATTGAAAAACGGTAACATTCCACCAAAACATATTATCCCTTATAATGTTAAAAAAAGACAAAATAAAATACCTTCTCGTCTTCCTCTTCTTCGTCACCCATGCTCATGTTCACCTAAGAGAAAATAAAGGGTAGAGGGTGATTTCAAACGAACGGGACATGTGGGCACTGGAGCATTTTTAACAAACACCTCGTAATGAAATTTTCTTTGAGTACATTCACCCCTATTGGGAGAGGCTTGTTTCCATAGAGACTGCATCACAGGGGTGACCTCACACAAAAGCAGAGGTGAAAGAGGGCCTTCCTCACAAGAGCACTGTCACACCAAAGCAATCTCATTTCTCCACAACATAAGCACACAGAAAAACAGAAAGAGGACAAAAAAACACATTTAATTTGGATGCTGTTGCCTAGATCACTTTATATCAAGTCATCCCTGACCCCAATGTGGTGCACACTGTGACATTGCCTGGGAACAGAGCTGTGTCACTGCCGGCCAGAGGGTCACAGAGGGGTGGCCGTGTCTCAACACTGGATATGAGGGTGAGCCTGGGCTTTAACATTGCCCGGGGAAGGCATCTTTGCCAGCAGCCATAAACACAATCACCAGGCCGGGGATGTTGTTTTTGGGGAGGGGGTGTGAGCAGGCCAGGCCCGCGGCCGGCCGGTGAGGAGGCTTTACAACACAGTGAAATTGGGGGGCAGTCAGAAGTGTGAACAGCATTAACCTTCACAGACAAGTGTAGGGCGACCAGCATTACCACAACAGCAGATAGAGATAGCTGTACGTTTGTAGAGAAATATAGTCCTGCATTTACAGATGTGATGAGACTCAACAGACTATAGGCTAAACATACATTTACAGTGATCTAATTTTAGTGGCGTCTTACTGCTTGGTGATTTAATAGGCCTCTGGAGAAAATGTAGAAACTAGCTATAAAACATATGGAATACTGCTTCAACTGGCCGTACTGCGAGGTGCGTTTTATTGCCAAGCACTATCCAGTGTACATGCAAGTGTTAATTGACATTACTGTAAAACTGCTATTTGCCCAACGTGTGCCAAAAGGATTTGATTCCCTCAGGGGTTGACCAGAGGTGGGTTACCATACAGATTGAATTTGCACTGTAACAGCATGCATCAACAGATGTGTAAGGATGAATACTGAAGAGTCCTCATCACTCACCAGGTCCTGGTTGGAGCTGGCCTTCCCTGCAGAGAGCTGGAAGTAGTGCCAGCCAATGAGCAGCAGCAGGAAGAGGGGCAGCATGAAGAGCTCCCAGTGCCACACCGTCACAAGGAAGATCTGAGAAGACAGGACATGACAGTATAACGCAAAGCCCATCACACTGTAGCAGGAGCTCAGCTTTCAAATCTCAGCAAGCCTGTTCCCGAAACAAAATATATAATAGATTTAAGCACGTCCTAAATCTCATGATAAGTACTCCAGACTGTAAAGCCTCTGAGATTTACAGTCGATGGCAACAGATTTTACTCTTAGTGGTTTGAAAGTAACAGACATTGAGGAACAACTTTTAATATGTTGAAATCCTATTTATATACACCAATAACACAGCGCTGGCAGAGCGCCTTACGGGAGAACAGGAAGTATGACATGGATAGGCATGGTATGCTGTCTTTTAACTAGCACATCAAATCCTCTTAGATTCGGAGGCAGCGAGACTCTCCGATGAGACGCGTATGGCAACTGGAGAAGCATTTGCAACATTTACCCCCTCCGTGGCGATGATACTGAGAAAAGCCAAGACCCCTGGTAGAAATAAGATGGATCACACTGAATGAGTAATCCCTCATAATTCAGTAAAGGAGTGGTGCTAAGCACATTGCACAACACCCACTGCATTTCACAGCAGAGCACTAATTGGACGGCTGCATTTAAAACCATTTAGTGACAGCCTAATGAGTCTGTCTCCAACTGAAAGTATCAGGAAATGTGAGGAAGATCACACCAGCCAGTTGACAGGGATGAAATAAAAATGTCCCCCACAGCAAGTGGAATCTTAAAATCTATTATAGTGTGATTTCGACATATGGTCACATTATTTACCACAGACGTCTTTAACAAAGTACATTTTTCCTCACGCTTTACATATGTTTTCTAAAATTAGTGCATACTTTCCAACATGCTAATTTCCTAACAAGTATTTCTTTTTACAAGTTTATTTCAAAGGTTGAGTATAACTGCTAAGCGGTACTCACACGATAGCAGCAATGTGCAGCCTAGGCTCTAAAAGCTTGAGGCTGCCTCGACTATGAACAATATGTTCGAGTTAAGCCCGAGACAGGATGTGAACCATTGTGGCCTTCAGGCTTCAATAGCAGGCCTGTAAACAGCAGACTGCTCCTGTCAAAGCGACCATACAGAGTCCCTGTACGTAGCTCTGGGGGCCGGTCTACCTACTGCAACACCAGGCCTCGGTTCAAACGGCCACCAGGGAAACGTGAACCGTGAGTAATCCCGACAACACTGTGGTGTTACTGCCCTAGGCTTCACCACCGTTCTGCCTATTATCCCCCAATACAACCTGGGAGATAGTGGATGAACCGAAGCGACATGCGGAAACACAGCGGGATGACCAAGGAATACAGAATTTAACAAATGTTATACAGTAGTTCTTTTTTATAAAAGGCTAATTTGAATTACATATGCAGCAACAAACTGGAGCTAGTGGGGGATACAAAAAAAAGAAAAAGGTAAACAATGAATATGCATGATGTGCAGAGGTAGCTGCAGTACATCTCCTCTCTGTTATGAATAACCTACGTCATCTGTTGTCACCTCAGCTCCCATGAGGCAATTCTAAAGCGACGCTCCCCTCACCCCCGAGGAATTCAGCTGGCTGGCGGACAGGTAGCTTGTCATATTCCCAGTGTTCTTATAAAAAAGAGGTAAGAGAAGGGGGGAGAATGTGCCTGGAAACTGACATGAGCCCAGCAGGAATGTTGAACCTCCTTGCCCTCCCTGCAAAAGCTGCTACATTAACCACTAAAGTCTAATTGCTTGGTCTCTGTCTTCCTGTGCAAGTCAACAGAGGGAGCCAATTCATTTCCGCCCAGGGAGCCGGCAGAGAGAATCTGTCACAGGTATTCATAATCGCCCACTAATGCAAATTTCTGCTCACCGCGTTCTGGCTCAGTGGACAAGATAAAAGCCTACAGAAATACAATGCCTTGTGTCTAAACTGAGTGCTTAAATGAGGGTATAAACCAAAACTGTCAGAAATATCTTCTCAATTCCTCCCTCATGGTATGTCAGCCCATGTGTTCGGGATTTACATGCTTTTTTAACACCAATAAAAAAGATGGGAGAGAAACATCTGGGAAAACCTCTCAGATTCCTTCACTCAGGTGCACAGACTGAGACTTTACCGTCAGACATCCCGCAGTAATGAGCAGAGGCAGGACTAAAGCTTCCCCTTGTCTCCCCACATTCTCCAGAGTTTCTGTGAAATGGAGACAGAACTAATTCCCCACTAAGTGGTTTATGTTTTATTAGCAAGCAGCTGGGTGATTAAAGGACGTGTTGGACAAAGTGCAACCTTTCAGGCGTGAGTGTACATTTGTATGAAAAATAATCCACATTTTAATTGTCATCAAAGAGGCTCTGTTTCAGTTTTAAGGGTGGATTTGTTTATCCTTCAACAAATTACGCATGACAAGTAAAACCTTGAACTTTTTAAAGACGACAATGCTAATAATATGTTGCACGAGTGGTAAGAAGACAGTCATTTATTTAACCAAAAAGGCCATAAAGCAACAAACAAAAGCAAGGGAGGTAATAAGTAATGATATACCTGAGCATTTAGGTGTACACACAGCAGAATTGGATAACGAACGACTTGTAATTGAACAAGTGTTAGTGTGTATGTCTGGGAGGAGTGTCTCTAATGTAGGAAAACTCCCTTGACAAACACCATTTAGCAGAAAAATGTCCGTATGATTATGCACAGGGTGCCTAGGGAGAAAAAAAAGAATGAATTAATAAAACTATTAGCACGCGGTGGAGTAGATGATGGAGATGCACTCTCCTTAGCCACCTGTAAGCGCTTGGAGAAGGGGGCAACCCTGGGCAGAGCAATTCTGCCAGCAGGGTTAAGAACAGCCTGACAGATTTGTTTTATAGTGCCATTAATATGATTCCACTAAATGCATTCTTCGCCTTCTCATGCAGATCCCCTGGCCAGCAGAATCTAGGACCTAATAATAAAGCACTCAGCGATTAAAAGTGTGAATAAAATAACTTAAAGCTGAGCAAGCATGGCAGCTCCCACCACCCACACTCTCCCAGGAGAGGAAAGGGGATCGTAGCAGGAACAAAGGGACAAAGACACCCTCTAAAAGAGTTTCTACCATCCTGTAAATTGATTAACAGACCCAAACTACTGAGTGGCAGACGTACCACCAGACTGCAAGCCTGCCAGCAGATCTTCCTATACACTACAGATAACAGGCTGTAAATATAGACATCACATCAGTATTACACACATAATACTGTTGATGAGCCAAATGAATTTCATATTACAGCACGTGTGGTCATCCACTATCATAACTGTACCAAGCTAACAACTAACAACAGCTATTTGTTTAGTGTACTCCATTTCAAAAATACCCTTATTTTTTAAGACTTTGTGCAATCCAAAAACACGAAAGATTTAATCTTGGCTGTGTCTTCACTATTCCCTTTCGATGCACTCCACTTGGAAAGCTAAACAAAGCGAGGAGAGCGCCAGGCAGCATTATGAGGGTCAGTCATGGGGGCCATGGACGGATGCCAAATTACATGAACATATACTGAAAGAGTTTAACAAGAATGACTACAGGCTGCAGGGTTTGTGTGTAGTTGTCTGTGCCGGTAAGTGTGTTTTTTGTGTGTTTTATGGAGAGAAAAACGCCTTAATCTGACATCAAACATTTAGAAATATTAAGAAAATAAATAAAAAATATTTGAATAGAAAATAGGAACCTCTACAAAACCTTGAATAACCTGATAGAGATGGTCTTTTTCTGGGTGAAGTCAAGGGCAGTAAAATTAATCTGCATTACTTCCTCAATTAAAATACAAAAAAGGAGATTAATAATGAATCAAAGGCACAAGCAGCAGCTCAGCACATGCAGGTCTCTTTTTTCTCAGCCCGCCTGAAACAGAGTCTGGCTGAGGGCTTATGTTGGGGACAGGAACGGCAGGCTTTAAAGTAGCTGTAAACGCAGAGCAATGAGACATGTAATTTGTGTTGAGCTTGGGCCAGTGTGCGGACAGGCTTTCAGGGAGTGTCGGAGGCAGAGGAAGCACAGATAAGATTTCTCTTCAGGGCAGGTAGTGTGTGGGCAGCCATGGTGCTCTGAGCTAACGCTGAATAAATATTTCACATACGCTCAGCTCAAGCCTTATCGACTGGGGGGGGGGGGGAAAGAGGGAGACATAGAAAGAGGAAAGAGGGGGAAAAAGACCGGAGTGAGGGCAATAAAATAGGAAATCTCATGTCCCTCTCCAGCGGGATGAAATCAGTCCTAACGGTACTGGAGTGTGATGCAATTCACAATTCAATTCTTAAATCAAATACAGTAGAGCGTACAGTACGTAGATATTTACAGCTCAAGTCAGTTTTGAACTTGTTAACAATTATTACTATTATTTTGTTAAATCATAGCTCAATAAATAGCAACAAAACTGCATATTTTCATAGTTGTAAATAAGCATTAAGAATTATATTCCGTGGTTAAATTCAAAACTAAAATTTAATTATGAAAATGGTGTCAGTCTTATTCCTGTTATTTCAGTGTTCACATATTTTTTCTTATAATTTTGAAGAGGCAACTGAATAAAATGCCTCCCTTTTTAAGGCTGCATGCAGAGTGCAGTACGATAGAGATAGCGGCTCTTTATCAGCGCTCTGAGTTAGAGGAGCCGTGTGAGGCAGAGCATTAGCATGTGCTCACAGGGCAGCTCTGGCCGTTGTCTCCCCGCCTGTCTGACACATGCCTGGGCCAGAGTAGCGCCGGTACGAGGCTGGAGCGGGGCAGTCAGCGGGCCCCCGTGGTGCCTGTCAGTGGTGGCTGCACTGACCCTGCACTCCGGCACTGGCCACTAGTGTTTAATCCGTGTCGGGAGCGTTAACACTAAGCGACCTCCTGGGTGACAGATCTGCCATGCGAGCCTTTCCCCCTGAGGAGGTGGGGAGGGAGTGGCATGGACTCTCTCTCCCTGTCAGCTCAGCTCACACGCACATTAACGCGCCGGGGCCAAGACCGGCCCCGAAACAGCCACACACAGGGGCAGATAGGTCGCTGCCTCAGCTGCCTGGGGAAAAGTGTCCTCTGTGACTAGGAAGGTGGCGAGTATGTTAAAGGCAGTCATTATAATATGGCACACACAAAGGGGTTAAACACAAAGCATACATGAAAACACGGATAATATGAAACGCCTTAGCAGATGCACAGCTAAAACCTCTAGACGATTATTCAGTGCAGTCAGCTTTTATACATCTAAGGACGCTTTTCTTGTTTGTACTAAATAAAACCTTCATGCTTTTTATAAATAAAAATGATGAATTTAGTCAGTTTAAATTGCATCAAATGATTTCTTAAAACTGAAATCAATGTCCCAAAACATTAAAAAAAAAATAGGAACCATTTCCAGCCCTAATGAAGTGAATATTAACACAGAAAGCTTATTATTCCCACTAATAAGGGGACATGTTTCAAGGTTACACGCTGCATACAGCCAACCTCAAGAGCTGTCCACTGACACACAGCCATTCAGTGCAGATAAATGATAATGCTGTGATAAACTTTAAGACACTGCCGAGCAGTTTGCAAGTAGCCATCGACTTAGATTAAATATGAATAGATCTCAGACTCAAAACAATGAATACACACATCCCCATCACTGTCTTTTTTTACTAGACACATTCCCACTACTCAGTCTGTGAGAACTCCCACTGCCACAGAGATGGAGAGTGTAACCCCCATGAGACTGAAGAAACCCACTCCTTTAGAACCTCAAACTTTTTCAAACAGAGAGAAAACAGATGCGGAGCGAAAACAAGGAGACGATTCACAGGCGTGCAATCCTCTCGCTGTTCTCACAAAAGCTTGGCCACACTGCAATGCAGTAAACCACAAATAGGCAGGTCCAAGACTCACAAAGCATCTCATTTTCAGGGACAGTGTTAACAAGAACAATTATGACAACTCTGATTATAGCTTTGATCTCGGCCGGGCTGGTGTTCTGGTTAATGGCCCCCACTGCTGCGGCTCCACACAGGTGGTCTCCGGAGACCTCTGGAGCCAGATCTGACCCCGTCCTGCCCTCATCGGGAGAGACGATGATTTTATCAGCCTCCCCAAAAAAAAGGTGCCCGTCGCAGCTGCCAAGTGTGTTTACAGCTGCATCGCATCAAACATTCATCAAATGCCATCTTTACAGTGTGTGATGTGAGGCAATCAGCATTTCACAGGCTGTCAAATGATGTCTAAAGCGGTTGCTACCTGGCACTTACAAAAAGAAAACGGTTCAAATACTCACATGAGGTATACAGGTTCCTTTCAAGTCTAACTCCTGACAGATGAGGTTCCTCATAAGTTAAAATATTAATTCTACTTAAATACTTAAAGCGGTCTAATGACAGCAAAGCTCAAAATCAGCTTTCAAGTGTAAATGATCCTTTTTCTTTCATCCATTTCATCAAAATCAAAATTGTTCTCAACTTTGAACTTCTGAAACAGATTAATTTGGCTGGCTAATACATGCTCATTTAGCTTCTTATAGTTTTTTTTTGTACTTCTTTTTTGTGCAAGAAACTTCTGCCTTAGTGTAATGCACAGAATGGAGGATTTCACTCCAAGTTGTTCCCACGAATGGCTCCTGTTGGGAAAAGTAACTGATCTACTTGGTGCTTCTTTTTACATTTCCAGCAGTGCTGTAGCTCCATCTACAGGTCCTATTCTTGTGTGCAGCAAAGAACTCTGGGTGACCCCTCTGCAGTCACTGCTGATGTATAGCACATTCATCTCGCTCAGTCTTAGTGAAAAGCACATCTAAAGGCCGTTATTTTATGAAGATTTTCGCTGTCACATTTCCTCTCTCCCTGAGAAAGGAACATGCCGTTGCCAAAGTCTCGAAAAGCGCAGATCCTAGGCTCATTACTGTAGCATAAACAAGGAGAGGGAAAAAATTATTGTTTATATTTCCGTTCACTGAGGAAAATGTTTATGAGGATTTGCCAGAACTTTGTTTAAATGTGTGAGAAATATTTTTTTCTTTGTTACATTACCTAATTAGAGACATCCTATTTTAAAACTGCTACAGACACTGGTGGAAAAATCGAAGGCGACTTCAAACGATACGGACTCTGCTGATGAGACTGCACTAACAAAACAAGTAACCCTCCTGCACTCGCAAACAGTGACAATCCTGCAAGCCTTTCTATTCCTCACATACTAACACTCAGTTGCAGAAATACACCAAATAAACCGTCAATCTGTAAATGCTACCTTTATGTGTTCCTGGATGTGCAGCTTTCAGATTGCCACTCGTGTGAGAAAAGTTATCTTGATATGAACAAAGAAGATTTCTCCCCAAAAAACAAACACTTTTTTACCCCATTCCCATCCACTTAGTTAACGTGAAGCAGAGCAGTGATCCCTCGTAGAAAATGTGAATACCTTACACACCACACACCAACAGCCACTTCATAATGCATACATGAATCTACATAAACAGGATACAAATGTAGACTGCATGCTGTGTGGAGGTCAGAAAAATGGCCTGTGGGACTGAGTGATATAATGGCTAAGTATTCCTGGTAAAGCACTACGTGAGCATCCCGCAGTCCCAGTAGAAACCACAGCAGCGGTAATGCATTACAGGATGTATATGGTGTAAAAGGGTAGGACCGGTATGCTTGCTTGATAAATAATGTATTGTAATGTATATTAACGCTAGACCCACCACTGCAGCGTTTCCTACCGGCATACCCTGAGAAGCCCTGCGCTGCCTGCCACAGTGGAAAAGAGCAGACACGAGTGGTATAATTATGCACATCTGAGAGGCAAGCAGAGGCCATCTGTCAATGTCTGAATCAGTTACCTTATTACCACTGCCTAAAGATATAAAGATAGGAGTGGGAGCCGCTTTCATTAAGGCACATGGTGGCATGCTGCTTTGGACAGCTCCAAACACTAACTTAATTGCAAATGATGACTTGGAGGAGGAGGAGGAGGAGGAGGAGGAGGAGGAGGAGGAGCTGTACAGAACCCACCTTTGGAGTGGGCAGGGGCACGGGTCTAGATAGCGGCATGGCCCCACGCTTGTAATGACTGTCAGTCAAGACCTTGTTGTTTCCCTGGCTGACCAAAGTTCAGAGTGTTTCCGGCTACTATCAATTACTTGCTATACAGACATGTGATTTGCATGTTTTGCTGTGCTTGTAACTTGTCGAGAATATAATAACTCATTGAAAAAAATATAACTTTTCACTCGTTGAACTCTCAGTCTGCTGGTGAGTGGGTGATGAATACACAGTGGCAGATTCAATCTGTTTGTGCGGATCTCGCCGTGCACCTTCGACACTTACACTATTTGAAGCGCACCTCGTGGCCGACAAAAGGCGTTCTCTGACTACTTGCAGTACTGTCTGCTTTTTAAAAAAATGATCAACCAGTGTGCTGGTGTGAGTGTCTGAATACAGAGCAGTTGTTTCAGATAAAAAGGAAGAGAATCTACAGTTAATGTCACAGGATTTACCATCCGCACTGACAGGGAGCGGATGATACATTGTTGACAAAAATAAGATTGGGAAGCACTACATTAAAGTCACAATGATGATCCTTATGAAAATAGTGAGGGAGGCTTTTTCCCCCCGTCATTCTAAGATCTCCATTTGTGTGCTGCACTCCTAAACAGCAGGTGGAGCAGAAGTGGAAATTAAAGATTAGAGAGTGCTACCACACACTCCCATCGCCTGCGGAGGATCTAATTATAGGTGGAGGAAGATGGCCCCGTCCCGCTGACCTGTCACCTGCCTATCCTACTGCTCTCCTAGCCATATCCCCGCCTCCAAGTCTCTCGCTATCTGCCTTCCTACACCGCACTCTTACCCAACTGTCTTCCTCTCTCTGTGCACCAACTTTCTTTCCCAGATAGTAGCCTGCCTCCCACTCTGTCCTTATACAATCAACCGCATTGTTCTCCGTCTTCCTGTCTGTGTGTCCGCCGGCCTGTCTGTGTGCCTGTGCTGTTCTAAAGGCAGTGATACATTGAGCCTGGCCATTGCCTGGGGGGATTTGCACCTCAGGATCAGTGAGAAGGGCTTACAGAATACACCAGGTATGAATTGCATGTCATTCTGAGACAGAGCAGACAGAAGAAAGGCGGTGAAAGGAGAGTTCTTCACACACCCTGTCTGTGACCGCTTCCTCACCCTGACACGGCGCTGGCAGGGCTTTCATGGCAAGTGTACACTCTTAATCATGACATTACATGTGCTGTACTGAGGGGGATTCACAGGGTGATTTAAGATTATTTAAGCTTAGGACCTTAGATCACATACCCTCATTAAAAACAGCTAAACAGAGACATTTAAACAAGGTTCAAATCTCGGAGGCAGACTGTCACTCCTCCACCCAAGGAAGCTGGGACTGTGATCCTTCTTACACCGTCCCCCGGGCGAAGAGGCTTTACTAAGAAGTCAGATGTACAAACACCCAAACCCCACCCCTTCAAATACACTCTAATGTCATCAGAACTGAAGGAAAGCCAAGTGGGGTTTGATTTGAAGGATAGAGCACATCCATCAAATGTGCATGGGATAAAAACAGAAGGTAGCCATTGTTTTTCATGGGAAAAAGATGAGCAGAGGAAAGAAAATGACTAAACCAAAGATTCTCCCCAAGATCTAATTCACATAAAATGGAAGAGTTAAAACTGGGTTGCAGTGAAATGGGACAAAACTTGTTCGCCCCAAGGCTTAAAGCGAGTTCATTAACGTGAAGCAATGACTTACCAGAAAGGCTATTAGACTCCGTTGCGTGCTCTCCCATTGAAAACAGCTTTTAATGTACTGTAACGTGTACAGAACTGCTGTGCTGATATTTCGAACCCGATATATATTCCGGGCAAGAACCTAATCGGAAATAATTGGAAAAAAAACACTGTTAGTATCTTTTGATTCTGGACATAATGTTTATGACTTTGCAATGAGTTTCAATCAGCTTTACAATCCCCTATTTGCTATTTGTGAAATTAGATGATTAAAGCCAATTAAACTAATTAGTTTGACTATGTCCGATCCAAACTGCGACCGTGTGTAGCTTTGTTGCTGCTACTTTATTATTGGGATGTGAGGGAAACAAACTGGCAAGTCTTTCTAATCCATCTGCTAACATTTTTTTACCTTTTTGGAGAATTTCTGGTTTTCCTCCATTAGTTTTGTCTCCTTTGGTTTAAAGGTTCTGATACCAGCTCGGACCTGGGACCAAGAAACACACACTGCCATTAAACTACTTCATGACTCCAAGTTATAGGATATGGAACATCAGCATTTTCAAACAAGCTGGAACAAATAAAGTTTCATCCTTACTTTGTTATAGATAACATCCAGCACCAGTGTGATTGTTCCCTTTGATGCACTTCCCAAGTCTTCTTTCTTCAACAACAGACATATCTGCTGCCCATTTTGAACCTTTTAGATAAACAAAAATGTGTATTTTGTGACAGATATTATTACGCGAGACAAACTTATTACGCGAGACAAACTAAAGACAGTCACAGTAGTATGTATTGGCTAATCTTAAATACACTTACGGTCAGTAATGGAATGTCTACTTTCCCCAAAAAGTTTGGGGCTTTGTCTCCATTTTCATCGAGGAGAGTCAACTCTATCACATCGTGAATGTCCTTTATCGGGCTGAAACATTGCAATTAAGAAACATGTAATTCACAATAAAACAAACAACAATTTACAACATAATAATATGAATGTTGATACAATTTCTTTCACACATATGTCGTACAATGTTAGGGCTTTGTTCCACTCTGGATTGACGGTCTTGTAGAATGTGTGGGTTTGAAGTTTGCTGTTTCCGAGCTCAACAACACAAAAAGGGTTGCTTTTGCCTGCAAATAATTAAAAAGTGTGTTTATTTATGTAAACAAAAAGCCCTGATTGTGATGATAGAAAAACAGAGAAGTGAATCAGTGTAACAGAATTACCATTGAGGTCTGTGGCAGGAAGATCATTTGCCTTTACGACTTTGACCTGAAGGAAACCAACCTCTCCCACACACTTGTGTGTGTTCTTAAGGCTCTGGAAAAGATAAATAACAAAAGTTGTTCAACACCATTTAAGAGCATTGTTGATTAATGTACTACATCAAGCTGCATTCTTAAACACATGACATATCATTCACGACATATCTGTATTTCTTACTGAACTGTAATAGTGGTGTGATTTAATGCCAACATTTGGGGGGCTTTTCTTTTTGCATAAACTTGGACAAAAAATAGCTTACGAGTTTTTCCTGTACTGTGTCTCTCTCATCAGGGCTCTCCAAGGTAGCTGTTTCAATGTCAGAGATGGAGACTCCCCAGCAGGGTCTCAGGGTGACCAGAAACACCAGCCTGCCCTTTCCTGGGTCCAGCACATGAGTGTAGAGCTGCCTCTCATTAAGTGGAAGTCTCGATAGGGCAATCTCAAACCTGAGACACACAAGGAAAATAGTACCATAGAAACACATAAGGCCAATTAGTTCTGTGGAGGAGCCAATGTGAGCAAAATTAACACTACCCATATGGAAATACTTACATCCCCCATGATTCCTCACCCTTCCTCCCTCTCTTTGAGTAAACCTCCACCTGCAGAGGTTCCTGGTTATCTTCAAACTGATTGAAGTCAAACTGCTCTCTCCACTGGGGATTGGCCTGAACGCAGAGGTTCTGAGGGCAGTCGAGACACAGATTCAGCACATACAGTAACGCAGAAACACACACAGACACACACACTTTGAATCAATGACAGCTTTAATGCATTATCAGACTGAGCAGCTCCTGCATGACAGGTGGATTAAGGCTTCATTCAGTCCAACCAGAACGAAGCAGGAGAGGAGAAAGAGAGGTGTGCTGTGTTTATGTGCCTCTATTTGTGTCTGCTTGTATGTGTACACCTCAGTAGCCACTCTGGGATTGTAAACACTGACAGCTTCCAATTAGAATCAGCTTTGTCCAACAAACAAACAAGCAGAGAGGAAAGCAGAGAGGTTTACAAAGAAATGACACGACAACACAAGACAAGTGCACCGTAGAATCATCAGGGGGGAGGCCAACAAGTACAGGTAGATGAACAGGGCATGCTGGGTATGCAAATGAGAGCAATGAAGCCCAGCACCCGAAGCATAGGGAGAAGTGAGTGGCAGCCTTGCCCAGTCTAATGAGCTGCCTCTGCCATGGCCCAGTGAGCCAAGGTGGAGGTGAGTCACTGACAGGCACCTGCTGAGACAGGGAAGCGGGGAAGTAAGAGATAGGGGCTGGGAGGGAAGACTTGAAGTATAAAGAGCAGACATTAAAAGGAAAGAGGAGAGGAGAAGTAAAGACTTTAAGAACAAAATAAAGTCCAACCTTGCTTTTGTACTTCTGATCACCAAGGCGAAAGCGGACGTAGATGTCCCCGTCGCCATACTGCGGCAGGTCCAGTCCCTCCACCAAGGTGACACCGAGCACTCCTGTCCACTTCTGGTTCTTCAGCGGATTTCTCTGCGTCTCACTTGGCCGCTGGGTTGGTGGGGCCGGGTTCTGCAGCAGGGCAAAGACAGACACAGACAGTTTTTTCCTAAAAGCTCCTTGTGTGTGGACGCTTTCTGCTTCCCCCCCAGTATACCAGCTCCTGCCTCAGCTTGGCACCTCATCATGTTCACAGAGTGCATGAAAGTAGGACAAAGGTCCACACTATACAGCACATCTCTGTTGGAGCACATTAGCACATCTCTACTGACAGGTAAGCCACACCATGGAGGCTCCTGGAGAGCGAGGAAGAGAGGGACGTCAGCGAGCAGCCAGATGTCCCTGGCTGTGACAGTCCCACTCATCACTGGCTCCCAGACTGAGTGTGGGGAGGCAGGACACTTGGCATACTGCACAAGAGACAGCAGGCAGCAGTGAGTAATGATGCACACCGCACAGCTCTCTCATCAGCAAATTATGCATACATGCAGTATGTATGTATGTATAGCCTGCATCAGAGTTTACTGCATGTTGGCAAATTCATCCAATATTTATTTAACTAGCAAAATAACAAATAGTTCCTACTCAAGTGATTCTACAAAACTAACATACTGTAGCTGTTGTGCATTTGAGAACTCTTTGGAAATCAAGGACAAGCCCAGCAAATAATGGACTTCTCCTGCCGTGTGTCACAGAGGGAGTGAGAGAGAGAGGCCTTGATATGTGTCCATGTTAGAGTTCCCGTGAGGCCATGCGGTAATAGGCCAGGGCTGTAAAAACAAACAGCAGAGAGGTTGTGTAGGGCGGACTGTAATTAAAGAGCAGGACCGTAATCTGCTCTCGCCTCTTTGATTGCCCAGCTCCTTCCACTGCCCTGGCGACGCTGCTTCAAACAGCCCCACTACAACTCCCCTGCCACTCCGGCCCCTCCTCTTCACTGCTGGGTCACAACCCACATTGCCACCCAATCCGGAGGGGATCAAAGCACATCTCAGGGACCTGAATTAACATGGAATACCACAGGCACAGCCCTATAAATATCAGCCCCTTCAAAAGAAGTGGAACAGAGGGAGTGGAGGAGCGATATAAAACAGGCCTCAGCCAAGTCATCCCAAGTGTTTATCTTGGACACATTTCTATCTCAGCGGCCAATAAAACAATTCCACTTAACTGTAAGTGGCCCCTAAAGAGAATCTATTCCTGGTCCTAAAAGGGCCGTGCGATTGCTTCCATATGGTGGGACAGCATGGGGACAAGCACGATGAGCTCAGACCCAGGTCCATTTGGCGGGTACCTCAGCACTGTCCATCCACAGCTGTGATATTACATCCTAACATCTGGGTTATTGCCCGCTATGCCTGGGAATTATCAGCATTGCCGATCTTAGGCATCTCACACTGGCAACATGCCTCGAACAGCAGAGCCCCCCTCCCGCCTCTCCCATACAGCCCCCTCCTGTTTGAAACACTATCACACAGCAGAGTTTTACTCAGGCACTTGCCATTCCCTGTCTCTGTGGTGGTAACACAGAGGGAGGAAACGAGGTTCTGTAAGAGGGGGAGTGGAGCTGTAAGAGCTGGGTATTCAGCACTTCCAGGATAGGTGTTAAATGCAATGAGATATTGTACGTTTGTCAAAAATGAAATGGGAAAGAAATGGCATTGTTACGTTGTTAAATTAGCACTGTGATTTAGGCAGCAGAACATTGTGAAGAGTCCCATCACACATTTCTGTCTCCCTTTGAGTATCTTTAACCATCTGTAGCGGATAACCTGCAATGTGTATGAAAATGGCTTCATTCCTTTGTTATCTAATTTTAAATTGAGATTGTCTACTGGACCATCAAGAGACTGAACAGTGGCAGATGTAGTGACTACATAGGTGTGAATATAAACCCACTCGCTGCAGTGTGAGTCCCAAACAGCAACCCTCCTATTTCACTCTAAATCTAATTACAGCTGCAATATATTGAAACCCACTTGAGAGGAGATGGAACTTTATTTACTACAGAGCCAAATACTGCTCTAAAATACCCATCTAAAGGCTCCTTCATGACAGCGTATTCAGTCAATATTATTATTTTTTTATCAGAATGTAATATTGTTCCATACTTTTTATTCTCAGCAAATGTTGCCACTCAAAATAATATGTATTGCAAAAAAGGTTCATGATAAAACCACAAAAGAAACAGGCTGTGCTGAAACCAAGGTTACACACAAAAGCCCTCATCCTGAGCATACACCTCACTCTTTGTTGCACCATAGTACAGTGAGATACTGCCCCCTAGTGATATAGACCAGGGTAACCGTAACCACACTGCCATGTAAATTAAAATGTTGAACTCAAGGTGGCATTCTGGATTCAATTATAAATGACTATATCAAAAAGTAAATGTAATGGTATAAAATTCCATACCTTACTCTTCCTCGGTGGCCATCTCTATTGGAAAGAAAATAGATGAATCAGTACAAGTAATTCAAGCAAGGCTGGGGCCAATGCACTACAACAACAAATACTGAAAAATATATTGAAACATAATCTTACTGGGCTTCTTTTGATCGTGGCATCTCTAAACATCAAGCAGATGTCAACAATAATAACTCCCATGTCATCTTCTTTACTTTTTGGATCATCAAGACGCAACTCCATTTCATATGTTCTGTAACGAGACACAAAAGACAATTTAAAACTTAAGACCACCTACTGGTATCCTTTTGATAATCTATGCCCTAAAATATAAATATAAAATATATTCCTTACTTGTACAATTCAAGACTTTTCAAGGAAATAGTGCTGGAACCCATGAACTCATCAGCAGTTCTATTTTTATCATAGACCTGCAACAATATAACAAACATCATTCAGATTATTAACCGAAATGGTGTGCTCCAGTACAGGATCAGTGTTGTCGCGCAAGATTCGGCCCTCTATTCAAACAAACACCTACCCGAACTTCCACGTCGTGCTCTCTGTCTCGAAGAGCGTGGAAGAAGGTCTCATTCCACTGCGGATTTAGGCTTTTGTAAACAACTTTGCTTTTACAAAACTGTTTTCCTTCAAGTTTGAACTTCACATAAGGATCACTGGTCCCTAAAATGGAAAAATGAAAAACAAATCAGCAAGATAGTGTTGTGTGACACAAGTGATAATTACCTTAAGTTTTAAGTTATTATATAAACAACATAACACCGAATAACATAGCAATCTATGGTGGAAGTTAATACTTTAACGCAAACTATGTTAACTGCTTGTAGAACATATTGTCAAAAAATGTACACTGTGTATGAAAACACACATGACCACACACACTTACATACCCTTCCCCCATGCTGGTTGTGTGAGAGAGGGAAATATGTGAGGAGGAGGTGCACCCCACACATGGCAAAATCAGAGGGATGTAGCTGTTTAATTGTGAAAGAGTAGAAACACTCGCCAGCATGAGGCAACCAGGAACCAAAATCTAGAAGCAACCAGTGTTAATCTCCCAAGCCTGTTAAGAAAGTCTGTCTGTGAGTGGGGTGGGGGTATGGGACTTCTTTGTTTCTGCAATTGCATGCAGATTGGCCAAAAAATGAAAGCCAGTCCCATGCCTTCATTTGTAAAGGGGAATAAAGGGGTGCTTGAGAGAGCCTGCAGGGAGGCTTGAATCACATGACAAAGGCCCTGTGGGGATGGGCTGTCAGGCCTGTCAGCTCCCCACTCCAAATGAACATCTCGCAAAGGCAGGCAGGACCCACAGCAGCTCCACCCTGCCAGCCTGTGACAGGGAAACCTCCAGGCAACTTGACAGGAGGAGAATGTGGCAGCTAGCAAGGAGAAAAGCTCTGGCATGACTGAGAACGGTGACGATGGAAATTAATGGAAAAAAAAAGAGGAGAACAAAAACCTAGGAGTGGGGGCTGGTGGCGTGGGTCCTTTCAGAATATGTAATGACAATGTATGCCATTGGTGAGCCTTTGGCACGGTGTTGATTGTTGGGCAAACAGCGGACAGACAGGGGGCGTGTGGAGATTGCATCATCACGGTGCCATCTTGTCAGGGAAAGTAAGGTCTCAACTGGAAGGGAGAAGGACACTGGGCTAGGAGGGTCTTCTGCCACCAGGATGGTGAAAAAAAGTTGAGCAGATTTAAAAAGGAAGTCCTTTTACCTTTTTGCTGTGAGGTTTTTCCAAAAGCTACAGGGATCACGCAACACATAATCTGGTTAAAAGTACAGAATATCCTAAGCAATTACATTTCAATTAAATAAGATTTATGTATGCTTTGAACTATGAAATGCTTTTATCAATCTTGAATGGCCAATTTTAACAATTGTCTTGAACTATACTTAAAGTAAACCAATTACTTTATAAATGGCTGAACTTATATTTTAAGCAAATACCTAAACTTTTTTAGGCCACACATGAATTGTTCATGGTGTAGTTCCACGTCCGGCCACCTGAGGGCGCTGCTTTGCCAAAGTCTTTCTCTCTCACAGATTATTATGGTCACTAGATGGATCAGTTATGAAATCAATTCATTTCAATGTGTAAAATCTGAATTATCCTTCAGAATTCCTATACATGGATAAGACAATGAATAATATCCAAGGACAAAATATCAAAATGGACTGCATTAGGATGTAAACATTAATAGAATATCCCACATTTTAACACTCTTACAGAACATTTGAAAACTGATTTAAAATCAAAACTAAAGACATCACCAAAATCATTTAGAAGAAAAACTGATCCGGCCTGTAATATTCTTAGTAGATTCAAAATGTCTATCTATGATATAACAACATGTTCGTATAATTCACAGGCTTTGTATTAAGAGAGATTACCAGCCATGAAGCAATAAATTATGTACATTTAAAATGTCAATTAAATAATGACTCCACCATCCACGCCTAAAACACGATTTAATTGTTCCAGGTATTTAAATGTGGAAACACCAGTAGTTTCATGTTCAGATGAGGTGTTCTCTTTAAAAACAGCCTAATTGTTGTATCCCTTTCGGTCTGTCTGTCCTACTGGTCTGACTGCATACTTCTCCAGTGAATTTTCTTCCTTACCAGGTGACATGTTGCTTCATTCTTACAGGTAAACATTACATTGCATTTTTTTTTTTTTTAAACAATTGCATTAAGTGAACACAGCCCATGTTCCTTATACAAAAATACCTTGTACCTATTAACTACTTTTCACTGTTTGGTTGGCTCATAAATACAAGTTGTATGTTCCTGCACCTTTTAATATGAGGCTCAACCTTTAATGTTACTGCAAGAAATCTGATTTGGCATCTTTTAGTGGTTACGGATGCAAAAAAAAAATCCTACATTTTGAAGAACAGTTTTTGTTTCTAAAAAAAAAGTTAGTAAATAATGTCAAAGTACAGACTTAAAAAAAAGATTACTTATTGATGACGTGCTTGTTGTTGACCTACCAGACCGCTTGGCTCGGGCGACCAGGTTCCTTCCCTGCTTCAGGTTGATGCTCAGGAGGTATCGCTGGCACGGTAGAGGTCCCTGGATGTCCGTCTCCCCAGTTGCAACCTGCTCCAGAGAACCATTCACATTTATATTCTTTCTCGTACCATTTGCTTGACTTAATTTAAGTGCAGTTAATACTCACAGAAGAGCTTTCCAGAAGATCTTGCATGTTTTCGTCAAATAAATCGCATGTTTCACTGGACATCTACATGAAAAAAGGTTGTAATTACATATATTTTGAATGCAAACACTTAATAAAAAGTTCACTCAAGCTGAGATGTCTACTCTGTTACTGCTTTAATTTGAAACAAAAATGTCTATTTATTTCGAGACATACTCATTTATTCGTCCTGGCAATAGATACATGTTTTAGGGATCCAGGTTGGTGATTACACTATGTAAATACTTCCTCACAACAGTAAAGTAACAGAAAGATATTATCAGTCTCTTTGTTTAAGTTTACTAGAGCTCTCTGGGGTACACACATATTTCTAACTGGTAACACAGGTTTTTGACTTCTAGGCATCTTAAGAAAAAAAGAAAAAAGTTAAAATAGCTTTTGTTTCAGGGTTGTATAAAGTCAAATTCCATGTGGTCACTTTGTGTTTTACACCCATCATATGGGTTGCTTTCATATTTAGCACCAGTTAGATGACAGTAACCGTCACATTTAAATGATCGTACAATATGTCTGTAGGTAATGATAAAGTGCGACAAAACCTAAAGCCTGAGCTAAAGTTTAGAAAATAAATGCCGATGTCATGGCGTTCGTCGGGCTGAAGATTACACTTTCATAAGAGCTGAAATCTAAGTTGATACAACAGAAGGGACACTAACAATGACTGTATAGTATCTACAAAGAAGGGGATGGCTATCCAGATTGATTCATCATCACGAAAGGAAATCACACATTTTACATCTGAATACAAACATATCATGGTGTACATTGGCCTACATTCTGACTTTAATTAAGAACAGGGTCGTCCTCTTATAAATGTAGTTCAATAAACTTGTAATAAAACTGACCTCTGCGGTTTCTTCCAGGGCCTCCTCATTTCGGATTTCTTCTAGCAGAATCTCTTCGTTGGGGAAGTCTCCCATCAGAAAGGGAGAGTAAAGTTCTCGGTCCAGGTCCTCCGAATCTGTTGTCCAGGGCATATTGCCTTGTTCGTCATTGGGAGATTCACAGGTAGAGCCCTGAGAGGTTCCATCTGACCTCTCCAAAGGAGTACCCAGATTATCTAACATCAGAGACATTGTATCCGCACGAGCTACTCTGGTTTGTGGCGGAGTTCCTTTCTCAGAGGAGGACTTTTTATAATCAACTGATGCGGGCCTCTTATCTCTGTAAGGGTTAATTTGGTCTCCCATTGAGCTTGCTCTGGCCAGAACTGCAGCGACAGCACTTGATGACCATCTGTCTGCTGTGGCGTCTTCACCAGAGACACTCTCTCTCTCTACCAGGTCTGGTCTTGGTGAAAGTCCTTTTGGGAAAGGAGATTTTGGTCGATGAATAGGGTCAAAGAGGAATTTAGGTGCATTCCCCTTGGCTCCTTTGTTGACTTTAGAGTACAAGCCTTCTCGAGCAATATTCAGCTTGATCTCTGAGCCTGTATATGACATTTGATCAATTTCATCATAAAGGCTCTGTGACCCCGATGGTGCGCTTATTCTTTTTAAAGCAGCAGCCGTGCGTTCTCTGGGAACTCTGAGTCGATTTTCTGAGACAGTATCGTATGGTTTGTCTGTGATGTGTTGTCCATCAACGATCGAGCCACTTGCAACAGAATCAGAATCACTTTGACTAGGGGAGTGGCCAAAAAAGATGGCATCAGAGGGAGTGGACCCATCGGGGTTGTCAGCAGGAAAGGATTCGTCTGGCACAAACCTGAGGTCTGGTACAGAAATACTGCGCCGATGGGCCAGCTGTCTTCCTAGTTTCTTTCTCCCAGGCTTCTTCAGGTTGACCAGCTTAGTTTTCATACGCAGGTTCCCCAAGAAGTTCTTTTTCTTGACCTCCATCTTGAGCAATGACTTGAAAATAAAAATAAATAGAATAAGGTTACATACAAACAGGCCAAAGACAATGCAGTAAAGTACTATATAAAGAAGATTCAGTCAATGAAAATGTATGTAAACTACAACAGTCAAATGTTAAATGTACCAGAGTTCGTCACTGATAAAGGTGATAAACAAATCTAAAAACTAGGGATGCACCGAATATTCGGCCACCGAAAATTATCGGCCGAAAATGGTTCAAAAGGCCTAGGTTCTAGCACCGAAAAAATATCACCGAATGTCAGAGAACAGGGTTACGTCGGTAAGCTAACGTTTTGTTGTGATGACGTAATCAAAACGCGGCAACAAGCACGGCGCGCGACCATGCTCGCGGCTGGCTCACAGCCAACATGTCTGCTGCTTGGAGATATTTAAAAATATCAGAGAAAGAGGCGCGGATTGCGATTTGTAAAACGTGTTCAGCTGACATTTCTCGAGGGGGTGTAACTGCAAAGACTTTCACCACTTCGGGATTACTCCACCACTTGAAATCAAAACACCCGGAGAAATATGCGGAGTAAGATCAAATCACAAGCACTGACAGAGAGAGACTGTTCAGCGCTGCGTCTCATGTGCTTGATGAGAAGAGGAACAGACTTATGGCTGATAAAGCAGAGAAGCTACTGTTCATTAAAAAGAACCTCCCACTTTTCCTTAATAAGTAGACAANCTCCAGCCTTTGATAACAGCCCACATGTCTGTGAGAGTATGTTTACCTTTGTGGAGGAGATCAAATTGGTTCTCCATTACCGCACCTTAAAAGCAAGCTTTGACCATTTTATTGGAAATGAGAATATGATTTCACACAGGTTTTCTAATCAGCAGACATTTAGGATTCATTTAGTCCATCTCCAGCTCACTCATCCTGTTCCATTTCAGAAGGAGACATTTTATTTATTTGTATTTTCTCTGCACTCATGTTCTTGCTGAAAGAGAAATGAACAAAGATAAAGAATATCATCGAATGATTAATGTAAGAAGAAATTTAGTTTTGGTCGCTAAGGATGATTTCAAGAATCTTAAAGCACATGAATAATGATAATCACGAGAGCTCTGCCTCTCGATGTGTACTTCAGAGTGCATCTATTTGTCTGTTTTCCCTTTAGAAATGAAAGCCAATATGGTTTCTCTTTTCTCCTGCTGGAGCTTTGTTTCTGGCTAAATTGACCTTGCATGTGTATTCAGTGCATTTAAAAAATGCTTCATATCTCTTATGAGATTTTAATTCTAAATCATGTAATTTGGTCGTTTAAACATCTTTAAATGGAAATGTAAAAAGGAATGTGAGCCTCACTGATGAGGCTCCATATCCAGTGAGCTATCATCTCTCAAAGTGTGGCTCTGGGCGTCCATCAGGTGCTCGCTGGCACGGATTGTAATGGCTTTTAGCAGACTCTAACAGTGTTCCCCGCTTTCAAAATAAACTTTGGATAAAGAGCTCAATTAACACCTGATGTGGAGTAAAGGACACGCATGAAGGCTTGCTCAGCCCCCCCAAAGCTGCAGAGTGCAGGATGATGATGCATAAACACAGATAGTCCTCTTTCCCCACGATCAGACCATGAGATGTTAATCTCAAAAGGAGCATATTTGTGATAGTTTTTCCTTTTTTGGACAGTGCTGGGCCTCCAGTGTCTGTCCAGATCCCAGCGCAGTGGGGGAGGCACTGCGAGTGTGGGAATTGCTCTCTTCCTGCGCCTTTCGTGGAGAAGAGTGGGCCTGACAGTGGGGAGTCTCTCTGTGCTGGCAGTGCGTGTTTTCCCAGGGGCCGCCTCATGAAGCTCTGATAAAGGCATTCTGTCTGGACCCTGTCAATGCACACAGGCTGCGGCTTCGGCTGACTTGTAACATAAACATATAGACATCCCCAAGCCTCCTGCTAGGGTCCATCAGAGTGCCCTCCCCCAACACTCTCATCCCCCCTCTCCCACTCACTCTTCCTCTCCCGCCCTCTGTCATCATTCCTGTCATTATTTCCTCCTTTTGATGTGAGGCTTCTCAGCCCTCTTTAGCTTGTGTTACTTGTGTTATCTCGAGTCACTCCTCTGCCTTTGGAAGGCTTCACAATTCTTGCCTTGATGTGATCACATTTATTTCATTTTGAGACCCTCCAACCCCCTCAAATGTTGACTTATTGCTTTGCTACACACAGTCATTATTATCTAAGTGCATTAAAAGCAAATAATAACTCATGTGTAAGGAGGGCTAGAGTCATGAGAGGGAAAGAGTTTACACATCCGACCGGCGTTCTATTCAACGTGATGTTTTTTTCTAAAGCAGGGAAAGTGTTTGAGTTGGTAAGAAAGCCTGACAGATCTGAACAAACATGTTCAAACTTGTCCTGTGCGGGGGCTGGATAAGAATCTTTCCTGCGTTTCGAGGCCCCTGCTCTTCTTGTCTAGGTCGTCTAATCCGCCTGATTGCGGTTGGCCATTTTGTGTACTTTTCATCTACCGGAGAGTCTTGATTGTGCGGCACTTGTGCAACAGCTCTATTGTGTGTGGCGGACAAAAGCTAAAATCTCTCAGCCGTCCACAGAACAGCTTCTGAGCACTGAGTCTGTCTCATCTTCAAAAGCATAGTCTGAAGATGTACAGTGTTTGCTCATTATGGGCCATTCAATAGATAAATCACACATAATAGCAGAGCTTAGATAAACTGCTCTTTGTCTACCCTGCCCAACAATTGACATACAGCGTACCTCATCAGTGTCTGTGCATTTTTTTTTTTGGCTCCTTTTTCAGGAATCTGGAAAGAAAGGTTTGATGGATAAGATATATATGGTGCAGGAAGTAGTGCTGGTTGTCCAGAACGTTTTGGAGGAAATCGCAAACATCGGAGAGAGAATCAAGAAGTAATTTCACATTTCATATTCATCATACTTCTTTTTTAATTAATTTTGTTTGTTTATATAATTTTGTATTAATCTGACACCATTATTCTCTTAAAGCATATTCAACTGGTCTGTCCCATTCCTGTCGTGCATGGCCTTCCTGATGCTGTTTGTGACAACAGCACTGTTGTATTATATCCCTCTTCGATATATCGTGCTGATATGGGGTAAGTTCAACATCTAAAAACTCTTAGTTATTTCTTACAATTCTGAATGAAAAATTCTGAATGCAAAACTAAAATCGTTTTGGGCGATGCAAACTCCAATTTGCTTATTGATAAATGCTTCATTACTGTGACTAAAGTCTCCTGACAAATTGTATAAAAATCGAGCCCTTAGCATAGTAGCAGAAATAAAACACTTATTCAATCTTCCTTACTGCACATCTTTGATTTAATGAAGTGCAGTAATTTAAGAACTGTACCATGCCTACACCTCTGCAGAAGCACAGGGATCAGACAGCTGAGCGGATTTCTCTGCTCAGTGTGGGCTGATGTAGCAGAGGCGAGGCCTAAGGTTTGTGTGCAAACAAAGCAGAGGTAGAGTAGCAAGCTGTATATAATACATGATGTCCTTGGGCAGTCTGTAGGCTCCTGGTCTAGCCTCTCATTATCTGCTGTAGTCATACAGAATAGACAGTCATCTCAGTGGTCAGGGAGATATGCTGCCCTTAACAGGCTCTCCTCCTCCAGCTGTAAGCCCACAACCACTGTACTTCCACACTGCCTTCAACACAATCAATACCAAAAAACCATCATATCAAACAAAAAACACACAGTCGGAGACACTCCTCTGCCTCCCCAGTTAACCCCCATCTCAGTGGTTGCAAGGCAAGCCTTTCAAGTTGCTTGCACATATTTAAGTCCTTAGGTTCTTTGTCTGCATGTTGAGGTACAGGCAGTACCAAGCTGTGAATATAATGGTCCCATTACAAGACCCCAGAGATTTTGTTTTTTTCTCTGTGGTGTGCAGCCATGTGCAAAGTAAATATAGATGTGCTATAAATGATCAGATTGAAGCAAACAAAAGTAAAGAAACATTTTCTTATTAATCTTTGGCTCTTTTTCAAACTAGAGCTATCATTATTTATCTTCTGTAATTGATTACGTACTCCTGTATCCATATCCATCTCTATTGCATTGGTCCGGCTTTAATTCAGTTGGACTGAAATGGATCAATTGAAATGGCATCATATAATGCAGTTACTAAACTCTATACCTAGATAAGGTTACAAAACTCTTTTCATTAGTGTAACTTTTTACGCTGTCATTAATGCTGGTTGTTATGACACCTTTTTATTTATTAATGTGTTCTTGTTTTCACAGGCGTTAAGAAATTTACCAAGAGGCTGCTCAACCCACATACTATTGACAATAATGAAATACTGGATTTCCTCAAGAGGGTGCCTTCTGATGTTCAAAAGGTAAGGGTCCAATTTTACATACAGATAGGGAAGGAATTCCCTGAAGATGGCCGCATTATTTGCTGTACCAGAATTCCCAAGTGTTGCAGAAATATATCCTCTGGCTTTGTTTGATTATTAATGGACTCTCGCCTTTAAAGCAGCCCCGGCCCAATTATTCCTCAGTTCAGCTCCATGTTGTCGTCGCATTGCCTGAGTGAGGAGATGCTCAGATCCGTCCTCAGCCATATTGCTGCAGCCTCGTCCGTTATTAGCAATTTTGCCCGTCTGATTGAAGCGCTGTGACATTAAATGCGGTGATTGGCCGAGGGCCGGCGGAGGGCTCCTGACGTCTCTGGCTGTTGTGTCAGCGCAGAAACTCTGATGTGGCCTCAGTCACTTCTGGGTGGTGGAGTCAATTAATGTAGTCGTGAGCCCCAGTCCTCTTGCCGGGTGCCATATGTGATTACATATTAGCCATGGCTGATATGTCATTTGCATTTACATCACAGAGCTGAGGAGAGCTGTCAGGCTGTTGTAAGTGGTGCTGGGCGCTCGCTGTTCTCTGACTGAGGATTTTGCTCGGCCAGGAAATGAAGTGCCACACAGCGCCTTCATCTCCCAGGTAACTCGCCAGACTGAATTCAGCGAGAAACCCTGACAGTCTGGATCTGGAAAGACACTCTCACCCCAGTCTGTTTCTCTGCTGCACCCTTGATGTCCTCCTGCAGCAAGCCGTTGCTGACTCCTCTGTGATGTTGGAGGGAGCCTGTGTTGTTTGAGATTTGGCTGACTGAGTTGGCAAAACAAGGTGGTGAATACATTTTGATTCAGAATCCTTTGTATGTCTTCTTCCCCGTTGGGATATGATGTTTGAGCTTTGAAAATGACTCACTTTCAAATCTCATGGAAACAATACTTTTTAGCCTGGTTTAAAAGAGAAACTACATCTTGAAAATAGCTCCAATCATGAAAAAACAAAACACCCTTAAGATTCACCATAAGTACGTTTCATTATGTACTGAGAAAAATAACATTAACATCATATACACAGGAGACCCAAAACAATAGTCCACATATTTTGTTTTTGTTGACTTAGAACTTCAATCCTCAGATAGGTGTGGACACAAAAACAACACAAAGGCTGGAAATTGACTCCTGTCTTTCTTGCAAATGTGACTTGGCAATTAGTGCCTGTGCACATCTACAAAGTGTGCCTCAAACGGGGACTTCTGACAACACTGTCTGTCCTGAAATAAGAAGCATCTGTCAGTTCTGAGGACAGTTTCATGTTCTGATGCAGGAGGCAGTCACTTTGTTCCGACATTCCATCTCCCATTCTAATAATGGAGACCGGCTAATTAGCATAGAGTCCTTACCTTTATTCAACAGATTTGCCGTATTGTTTGAGCTCAGCAAGCATGCTTCAAAAGCAAGTTTTCAAATTCCAGCTTTTCTCCTTTGAGTTCACCCTATGATCAGTCGTCTTTGGATTATGGTGGCAGCTTTGGGAGAAAAAAATATGGACAGTTGAATCTAATTTTTTGAATGTCAAAGAAAACATGATTCTACAACATACATTTAGTTTGTAAATCCATTTAGACATCAAGACATTTCTGGGAGAAAAAACATGAGTACTGCATCATGAGCTTAATTCTACACATGTTACCAGCAGAACAAAGAGGGGTTGAAAGCTCAAATGTCACATTTCAGGTCCCATTTTTCATCAAAGTCACACCTAGGTCTGTAAAGCTGCGAACAAAGTTACACGTCTGGTGATGTAACTCTCGCTTTGTAGCCTACGATTCTCAGGCTTGAACAACGTTTTCTTCAGGGGACATAACTTGCAGTGAGTGATTATGCAGTTTGCAACTCCTTCACTGGCCTGGCAGGTCATCTCAACAGTTGATGTCTGTTTCTAATATTGTGATTGTGGTGCAGAATGAGGGGGGCGTATGCTGGTACGGAACCCTTGACTCTTCAAATCCTTCCTCCCTGTGATTAATCCCCTCTGCTCCTGTGTTTAAAAAATGATTCATTACAGCCGAGCCCGCCTCGCTTTCCCCTGCACCAGCTCTCCTCAGGGGAGCCATTACCGTGCGCTCCACTGAGCTCGGATTACCTGCCTCTGACCAAACTCCTGTTTGTTTTTACAGGTGCAGCACAGCGCGATCAGAGCGCCCACCAGCCAGAACCAGCCGCGGAAGAAAAGGTAAGCTTGGCGGACACGCTGGATGAAAGGCTGCTCTTCTTTTTGAATACGGTACAACGCGGCCCACCTGACAACAATGCCTCAGTGCCAGCAGAGCCTGTGACCCTGAGCCCCTCCCCCCCACACCACCCTAACTCTGCCCCCTGCTGCTGAGGGGCAGCCGGCCGCTCTCTGGCTTGTGTGTTTGCCACCCCCCTGACAGAGGCTGTGAACTGCAGCAGCGAGGAGGCCAGCACATGGCGCTGTCAATCACAAGCCTGGAGGTAAAGAAAAGAGAGCGCTGCGAGGCTGAGCCTTCATCTTCGGATATCATTTAGAAAAGGAATGAAAAGCGTCGGGCTCGGCTTACCTTAGACCTCCACTGTTTTTTTTGGGACTTTGGTGAAACTAAGAAATATGCCTTCAGGTTAAGTTAATATGGGCCTAGCAGTTTATCAAAAACAATCCATGGATTTTTTTCTTTAACCATGTTAATATACAGTAATTAAAGGACATTTTGTAAAAGATTTTTTAAATAATCATCAAAATAATATGTTTAATGGCACATTAAAAATATTAGGACAGAGTACTGAATTTTACTTTTTTTTTGTGGTATGGATTTCCTGTATATAATATATTGCTTTCTTAATTCTCTCTTTGAACCAAATATATATTTATGTAGTGCAAGTGTATTATTACCAGCTGCCTTTATGTGTATATATTTTTACTGAGTATATGTCTGCATCATCAAATGGAGAATTAGCAGAAATACTGAATAAAGAGTGTGATCAGTTTTGCTCTTGTTTTTGCTCTTGCTTTTTCAATAACTGCACTCCAGCGAGGTTGGATTACACCACTTCTTTACTTGAATACACAGTAAACACATCTGATTACACAGCACAGCCATTGGAACAGAGCTCACACACCGGCCACCGCTGCGCCTTGGTTACCGAGCTCACATCAAAGCTGTGTGGCTCCAGTGTGCTTCCTAATGCATTGCTTTGTTGCCTTCTCACAATAACAGGGTCCAGATGAGAGAGAAAGAGCTCATCTCACAGAGAGTACTCTCCATCCTCAGCACTTAGTGCTTTACATTTCCACTAAAATCACCTGGCCTATCTAATGGTTACACACACATACTCTGCTTTTTCCATCTGTCTCCCCACAATAGTATTTCCAAGAAGAGGGTTGAAGTATATCCTCTAACAATTCTCTCATCCATATTTAGTTTACGTATAAAACGTTTTTATTGACACCTTTGGCCATTGTGATTTTTGCAAATCTGTTCTACACAATTTCTGATTTTTCTCTCAAAGACAAAAAAACGAGTTCCTTTTTTAAAATGTTATCAATTCATACTGCACTAATTCAACATAATGGCTAGACTATATTAAAGCCTGTTTACAAAGCTAATATTTTTGCATCAAAAAGAAGATTACTCCTTTTACCTGCTTTCTGTCTTTTTGATAGTAGACAAATATTTCTCTTTCGAAATATTCATAGTTGGGACTGAAGTTGGGCATAACTGAGGCTTGGACCCCACCGATGGGAGTTTGTTCTGACTGATTGGGGGACTGAGCATCGCGGCCGGGTGCCCCCCTCCTCAGCAGTATAGCACGCTGGTGAAAGAGCATCCATCTGTGCTTTGTGAGGAGTTTGATTGGCTCAGGGGGACCTGGTGGAGCCCCGGGCTATCTCTTTTGACAGGCTGATAGAGACATCACTGGGATCTCCCAGGAGCTGCCACCAGGGGTCCATTTCAAAGTGAGAGGGTGTGGAGGTGACCCTGAGCTTCTGACGAGCTAAATCCCACACACTGGCTGTAACCCTTCTACATTCTTGGCTCCATTGGGGCTTGGGGGCTGGTTTTGGCTGTGATGGGAGGAGGGCAGCGCTGAGGAGGGAGGGGTGTGGGGTACACAGATCACTGGCAAGACCCGATGAAGTGTCCCCAAGAGGTGAAACCAATTAAGCAAAACTCCCAGGGCAGTTTTTCATTAGACATTTCAGCAAACATACAAATTGCAGCACTGGCCATCTATATCTCATAAAGCCAAATTCAACTAAAAGGAACTCACTTTAGGGAAAAGCCATTTTAAGTTGAAATATTATTGTGTCAGACATATCATTGAGGCAAATGCTGGCTCTGACATTACGAGAGGTCATATGGGAATACGGTTGCCTGCCTCCAAGCTGTCAGATCTTGGGATCTGTGGCACTGAGGTTGGACTTGGATGTTCCCTGTATCATTCATAGTCAATGGATCATACAGAGGAGGCTGTGCATGCACCAATGCTCATGATACCTACTCATACACACATTGGATGCACACACAAAGCTCAAAGAGGTGTAATCATATTTAAGGAATTATTCATCAATGTATTTTCTCCTGGGGAGGCTCGGAGTCTCAGCAGAGGAAGTCACTGTGCAATATGGTCCCTCAATGCAGTGGGGAAAATCCCTGGATGTTTTACAAGCTTGCTAATGAACATTTGAGCCACACAGCAGTTAACATTGTCTGATCACATTTTTTCTCCAGTAGTTGTTGTTGTTGTGCATGGTGTGGCAGTGATGTCTTCATCAGCCTGTCAAAAAGGAAGTGCCTGCAGCTGTGGCGGATCCCCCCAGAGCCTGTCACACTCCTTGTTTCCATGGCAGTCCTTCAGGCAGCACCACAGGCAGGCTGTGTGCAAGGACCCATACAACCTGTTTTTTCAGCAGCCGCTCCTCTGATGTTCAGCCCCGGAGCGGGCGTCAAACTACCAAGTGCAGAGAGAGAGAACACTGCACCCTTTCCTTTCTCTGTGTCGGAGTTCTGTGCTGCTTTACAAGGAGATGCATAGCAAAAAAAATGTCCTCATTTGAATAAGCCACTATTCGCAGCACCTCCTTAGTAATTGTTACATGTGCAGTGCTGTTAAGGTTCTATGACCTCCTCTCTGAGAGACATAATGCTCACAGTAGGACAAAGTAAGGAAAGCACGACTCATTGTTGACTTACATGTGTTAAAGCTCTTATGCATGTGTTATTTGGTCCGCTTGTACCACCTGAGAAGCAGGTCATGGAGATCAGTAGCTGCGCTCCGAGTCCCAACTGGCCTAAATTAAAGGTGCAGAGGTTACGGTCTGCCTCCAGTCAGAATCTTGACACCAATAAAGAGCAGAATTTGCCGGGGAATTAACTTGGCGGAAACACAATCTAATGATATGAGTTTGCTACAGTTACATTATTTTGCCTATGTGAGCATATCTACCTGAGGAGGCTGCATGCTTTAAAAATGATGCTGTAGCCCGCTTAAGCTGTTTGTTGCAGGTATTAACTTTACCAGTCGGCACATTGCTTTCGTCTCTCCTGATGAAAGAATATATAAATCATGGTAACCAGGATTGATGTTGTCTCTGGGAATAAGATGGATTTAACACCTGAGAGAAAATGGTCGCTAATAACAGCTGTTTTCAGTAGCTCCAGTTTGCTAATAATATATTTTGTGGCCCACAGTACACACTGGTGTTAAGACATGGCAAAAGCCATAATTCTTTATAGCATCAAGAATAGAAGATGGCCTTTAAGAGCTGAAATTAAATCATTGGCCTTTAAAAGCATCCCTCTAAGGGGCAAGCTGCATTAATAAATTCAACTGATTCTGCTTTAATATTATTCAGAGTGCATTAAAATGAAGACAACAGCTGGGATCATGCCCAGTCTCAGGAGTATTGCCCGGGCCAATGAGTGCCGGCAAGATGCAAAGCATGTCTGAGCGCAGCCCTGCGTTGTAGACGGGGGGCACAAGTTCTCAGTGTTACAGGTGCAGGCCTGACAGTTGCTGTACTGGGATCAGAGGTTGTTGGGTACTGACACCGGCAACAGGACAGCGACTGCCTGCCTCAAAAGCAATGTCACATGGGAACAGACGCCCAGCCAATCAGACCCTTACTGCCACGGTCATGACTGAACTGCTTATGACAACCTTCAAACTGTTAAATGCTTTCTTTGTAAAGCTATTGTATGGAATAGTTATGGGCTTACTTTGTTTTGTTGAGAAATTGATAAACTGTAGGAGAAAAAAAACTGCACTGTGGCTTTGAAAACAAGAGAGGGAATAAAGTGTTAAGCTTTCTAACATTTGGTGTTACATCAGTGCTCTATAGTTAGCATGAGCACCCGTGTCAGGGAAAACAATACAAAGAATAATTGAACTGCATATTTCATTCTAATTAACAGTGATATAACGCAATGTGACTCTCAGCCTCCTGAGGAAAGAGCACCGTATTTTGTTTGATGAATCTGCTAAAGCCACAGCTAGTCTCGCCACTAACCCCTGGGGAATCAGGTATCATTAGAGATATGAACAGATCTGCTTTTTGTCGCTGAAAGAAGGGGAAAACACATTTCCTCTGTGCTGGCACATGGGTGGATGTGAAAGTGTTCAATATTAATAGCCTTTCATCAAGGACACAATTAGGACACCTCTATTTGACACATTCTATAGGTTCTGAATGAATATGGATATATGCTCCCAAGGAAGGAGCCACTGGCTGAATAACAAAGTGAAATCTCCGGCAAACCCAGCAGAATAAAGAATGCACAACATGACAATCGGGAGCTGATGTATTTTGATCCAATGTGAATTTAAAAGAAGCAAGAGACTCTAAGTGTATTATTATTAGCCCGATTTATAATTCACGGCCCAGGGCAAGTTATATATTTATCCAAATTAGCATACATTCCGCCATACAAACACAAATGCAGCACACACATTTAAGGGGCCACATTTCTTTCATCTGGTACACTTGAAGTATTACTTCTCATGCTTGGAAAACGCATTGACACTACCTGTGTGTTTCAGTTTCTCTGTTGCTTTCAAGGGACACAAAAAAATACTAAACGATTAAACCTTAACACTGGTCATGGATCAGTCAGAGGTTCAAATAGAGAGCCGATCTGATTAGTGAGTGCAGTTTAGTATATGTCATTTTCTACACCAGAGGCTTGTGGTGCTGACTGCAAAGCTAAGGTGTGAAGAGGGCTGTGGTGAAGTGAGGAAACTAATCACATGTGTTTCACCCCTGAGCACCGTCTCCTCCAAGCTCTGCCACATTATGACACAGGAGAGTCATGTAGCACACGAGCACGGTTAGGCCCATTAACCAGAGCGGCTAATTATCGGCTTCTACAAGGTCTTCAAGCTCTCAGGCAATGCATGTTCTCATTTCTGATTAAAAACATAAATGCATGCAGAAAAAAGAGGATCAATTACAGCGAGGCAGAATAGATAACAGCCCGTACCAGAGTAATTAGGCTGGCTGTTTCATCGGAACCGCTTGCTCTGTGATGAAGCTTTAAAGAGTCCAGTGGCAGAAACACCACAACTGTGTTTGTTTTATTTATGATGTTGCAGTGTCACCCACTGGGGCCCAATTAGCCTGCGACTGATGCCTTGGAAAGCATCTCACTGCTCCTCTTTGACAGGAAATGAAAGCTGCACTCGTGTATGTCCTTCTAGTGACCCGTGGGCTTCAACCTGTTAAGGGCAGACTGGCCAACAGCAACGACTTGAACATGCCACCACAACCCCCTTCCTTCTTCCAGGCCCTTTGCCAGTATATTTCATACCATTTAACTGTGTCAACAGAGGACATTAGGGATAATCTGCCAGTTGTGGAAGTGGTTAGGCTCCACATTCGCTTTCTCCTGGCTGATTTGATCGTGATGCGCTGTAATGTATGTAACAGCCTTTCTCAGCGTTCCTTACCCACATGAGGGAGCACCACCATAAGGAATG